AAACCTGGTTGTAGACCCCTTTCAACAATTCAGGCTGCTCCATCAGAATCTTTCTTCTAAATCACCATTCAGAAGCAGTTTTGATTTCTAATTATTCCATTTCCAAATCAACTGAGCTACTAAGGCTAAAGAATTCGGATAGGGTATGTCTCACAACTGGTGAGAAAATTTCATTATAATCAACTCCTTCAACCTGTGTGAAACCTTTGGCTACCAACCTAGCTTTAAACCTAGGTGCTTCTACCCCTGGTATACCCTCTTTCTTTTTGAAAACTCATTTACACTTAACCATCCTACTGCCTTCAGGTTTATTAACAAGGATCCAAGTCTGATTTTTGATTAAAGACTCATATTCTTCTTGCATGGCAAGTTTCCATTTCCTGGAATCTTTACTAATCATGGCTTCCTTAACAGTCCTAGGCTCATCATCAATCTCTTCAGCAATTTGAAGAGCAAATGCTACCATGTCAGCATGTGAGTACCTCCTAGGTGGTCTAATTTCCCTTCTTTCCCTATCTCTAGCTAGTTGATAATTTTGCAAGTCATGTCCATCATCATCATTATCACCATTTTCACCTAAGCTAGGTTATTCCTCCTGGGTATGGGAATCTGAAACAGTGTCTGAAACAGGATTGTTCAGACTTGAAAAATCTCCACCTAGATCCAGATTTAAGACCTCTGTTCTATCTGCATTGTTACTCTGTTCCTGACCCAAACTACCCAACTCATATTCATTAAATCTGACATCTCTGCTAATGATACACTTTTTCCCTCCAATATCCCAGCATTTATAACCCTTAATGCCATCAGGATATCCTAAGAAAATACACCTAATAGCCTTTGGTTGTAACTTATCGGTTTTTTCATGAACACAAACAGTGCAGCCAAAAACCCTAAGGTTACTATAGTTTGCAGGATGCCCAGACCATTTTTCCATGGGTGTTTTTAAACTAATAGTTGATGAGGGTATTCTGTTAATTAGGTAAACTGTTGTCTGGGCAGCCTCTGCCCAAAACCTGGTGGGTAACTTAGAACAGGATAATAGGCTTCTAACCTTTTCTAGAATGGTCTTATTCATCCTTTCTGCTAAACCATTCTGCTGGGGTATGTCCCTTATAGTCATATGCCTCAGAATTCCACTTTCCCTACACAGATTATCAAAAACTTCATTTATGAATTCTAAACCATTATCAGTTCTAAGTTTCCTAATTTTCTTCCCAATTTGGTTTTCAATCATGACTTTCCAATCTCTGAATTTCCTAAAAACCTCTCCCTTAGTTTTCAAGAAATAAACCCAGACCCTCCTAGAATAGTCATCTATTATGCTGATGAAATATCTACAACCTCCCAAGGATGGATATTTAGTAGGTCCCCAAACATATGAATAGATGTATTCTAAAATAGACTTAGAACAGTGGTTTCCTACACTAAATCTGATTCTATTCATCTTCCCATAATTGTAGTGATCACAGAAAACCAGTTTCTCTATTTTATCTCCTCCTAGAACCTTTTGCTTACCCAGCTCAACTAAACCTTTTTCACTAATGTGCCCTAATCTCCTATGCCATAAAGTTGTCTTATTAGACTTCTGAGATAAGGATACTATTGATGTTCTAGTGATGGTTGAACCATTTAGAATATACAGCTCATTCCTCATCTCATCCTTCATTACAACTAAGGACCTTTTAGTTACTTTAAGGACTCCAATTATCTATTAGTAGTTAGTATTACCGGGCGGGACGACTCTGCGGTAACCTTACCTAGTGGACTATGTAGCCGTTGACTCTTAACTGTCTAGCTGGAAAAAGTTACTCCAATATACATAAAAAGTGGGATGCAATATTGGTTGATTGTTATGATACTTTTAAAATAATATTTAAAAAAAGTAAAATTGAATGGTTATTACGATATAAGATTTAAAAATTAATAAAAATACTCCTTAGATTTGTATATTTACTAAACACCCTCTATAATAAAATTTTAAAAATTAACAAAAACACCTAATCTACCCATTAAATACCGACAGCCAGCCACCACCACCTGAGGGTGGCCAGAGTCATTGTATCGGTGTAAGACCCACTGGATTTGGCTGGTCGTGCATCAATATGACATTTTCGACTAGATCCACTGTGAATCTGGTCGGAAAATCAATGATGACCATATCTTGGCCGTCGTGACGACCAAATCGGCCAAACTGGTCGTCAAAGGCCAGATCTAGTGTAGATCTGGCCTTTGACGACCAGATTTGGCCGCATTTGGGTCAACGACGGCCAAAGATATGGTATCATTGATGGTCAACGATGGCCATATCTTGGCCGTTTGTGAGATGGCTACGACCAGACCTTTGGCGAATCCACAGTGGATTGGCCAAAAAAGGCTAGATCAAAGACTACTGGTCAGATTCAGTTGATAGTGCGCCATTATATTAGCTTCCGGCGGTGGTGGCTGGAATTTGACAAAAGGGGTGCTGGGGTGTTTTTGTCAATTTCTAAATTTTTTTTGGGGGTATTTAGTTAAATTAACAAACCTAGGGGTTTAAAAAGAATTAAATAAAATAGAATAATATTTTAAGAATAAGGAAATAAATGTGTATTTTGGATAGGATATAGAATGAGTAGGAAATGTGTACCAAAGGGCCCCTGATTTTCTTAGGCTGTGCTTGGTACACTTTTTAGAATAGTATTTCTTAAAAAGTTGACTGAATTGTATTAAATCAAATATGATTTGAATTTGAAAATGTGTTTGGGAAATATTTGGATATTATATTAGAGTTGAATAAAATTGTTGAATGTTGTTTTATATTTTGGAAAAAGGGATTTTATAGAATATTTTGGTGCATTTTATTAAAATATTTTATTATTTGATTCCAAAACTTTTCTATTTACATTTAAACAATATTAAATTCTTGTTTGATAATTTTCTATCACTAAATTAAAAACAAATTCTCCATAATAATTGTTAAAACTTAAGAGACCAAACCGCAAAACCAAAAAGCAAGAAAACCCACATTAACAGCAGATAAAATCAACATATAAGCAGCAAATAAAATCCACATATATGCAGCAGATAAAAATGAAATGTCAAGGGGACAGAGATTTATAGTGGTTCGGTAATCTTATAGATTACCTACATCACTCTCTAGTGCAATAAGCAGATTTCACTATGAGAATAAGAGAATTTACAGAGATACGCTCACCTTTACACAATGCACACACCCCTCTGTAAACCAGATCTCAACACCTCTCATACACCACACACCAAATAACCAAGATTAGAATAGATTATACAGAAGAGGAAACAGAAAAACAATCCAGCTAAGACCTACCACTACGTTGATTCCATCAACGCTCTTTGAAACTCTAGCGCATCAAACATGTAACAAACTTTTCTCTCTCTGTTACCAAGAGAGAAAACTCGAGAGAAATGAAAAATGAGCAAAACCTAATTTGAATTAGGTTTATTGAAAACTAGTTTTGACAGAACTGCCCCTAGCTTTAGCAAAAATGACTTTGACTGCCAATTAAACTTGACTTCCACATGGGCATAAATCAATTGCACCTCACAACAAATCCACCTTTGCACTTGATCATTACCCTCACTTACTGCCCTAGATTTCCTTCTACTTTTCTTCAATGTGAAGAAGGCTCAAAGAGCCTTAACTTGTCCAAGACAATAGACTTGGTGAACAGTCTGCTGGGTTCACAACCAGGAACTTCTCCACCTTGATGCTTTATCTTCAATCAAATTCCTTATAAAATGCAGCATGACATCAATGTGTTTTGATCTCTCATGAAACACTTGATTTTTACATAGAAAAATTGCACTTTGGCTATCACTCTTGATTGGAACCTGCTGCTGGTTCAAACCCATTTCTTCAAGCATTCCTTTGAGCCACATTGCTTCTTTAACAGCTCTTGTAATGGCAACGTATTTGCTTCCGTAGTCGACAAAGTAACAATTGCCTGCAGATTAGCTTTCCAAGAAACCAGATTATTCCAAAAGGAAAACAGAAACGGTGCATGGATTCTATTACCTACATTTCTGCTAATCAGCATCACATATCCTACAATGATATTTCCTTGATTTTGCTCCCTACTGTAAACAATTCCAAGTCATTGTACCCCTCACATACCTAAGCACCCATTTTACAGCTTCCCAATGATTCTTCCCAGGATTACTCATAAACCTACATACAAAACTAACTACAAAGGCTAATCAGGTCTGGTACACACATCAAATACATCAAGCTCCCTATTGCATTTGCCTACGGAATGCAGTTCATTTCCTTCCTTCTTCTTCTGTTTCGGGCATTGAACTGAATTGGTTTAAGGTGCTGTCTAAGGGTGTTTTGACAGGTTTGGAATTACTATATTAAACTTCTGATAACTTTTCCAGCATATTCCTTTGTGACAAGATCAATTTTCCAATTTTTATATCCTTTCAATATTCATTCCTAGGATTTCTTAGCTTGCCCTAAGTCTTTCATTCAAATTGTCTACTCATCTCTTCCTTAAACCTAGCAATTTCAGAAAGATCTTTACAAGCTACAAGCATATCATCTACATACACAAGCCAAATAAATGTAGCATCAATCTACAAACACTTAAAATAAAAGCAACCATAAAGCTACTTCGAATAAATCCAGCATTCACCATAAACTAGTCAAATTTTCTAACACTGCCTAAGTGACTGCTTTAATCCATACAGTGATTTTTCAACAAACAAACCTGGTTGTAGACCCCTTTTCAAACAATTCAGGCTGCTCCATCAGAATTCTTTCTTCTAAATCACCATACAAGAAAGCAGTTTTGATGTCTAATTGTTCCAATTCTAAATACAAACGAGCAACTAAGCTAAAAGAATGAGGCAGAGCGGAAAGAAGAATAAAGGAGAAGAGTTGTTCTGAGTCCCGAGAGATATTTGATTCTTAGGTGTTGGCCCGTATAGCCCTTTCTTCATTTTTCTTTTTTTTAAAACTTATGTATATTTCAAGTTTAGCATTTTAGTCACATGGTGTTCATACATATAAACGTTACAAGCACGGCACAGTTTACTTATGCTTGATCATGTTTGTGAACTAAAAGGAGCAGAGACCTCATTGCAAACCTTGGGAATCAATCTCTGCTTGTTGTCTTGCCATTCATTGATTTCATCTTCAATCTTTGCTTGCACAATTGCACGAAACCCTGGGTATGGTTCATAACCGAAGAATGTTTGAAGAGCCTGAAACAATCAAAACAAGCAGCACAATACTATACTTCACAACTCCAAAAACTTCAAAGAATTACAACAATTAAATTAAAATCGCAACAAATATTACCTCCAGCAGCACAAAGAAGGGAGCCATTAAAAAGGCTTGAGCAAGATTGTCCAGCAATGCTGGTGCTCGTTTCTGCAGGTTATTATGAACCCAAGTATGAGGAGTATGCATATAATACAAAGTCATTATTTATTGCTGACTAAAATTAGCTACCTCGAAGACTCCATGACCAATAAACTGTCCAGTCCAACACAATAGCTGAGCCACAAGAACAACCTGAAAAAGTTTCTTCAGGTCAAACAACCAAGCTGACATGAAACCACTATATGATTACTTTTTACAAGTAATAAGAACAGAGGGTGAAACTTAAATCACATGGGACATAGTTAGCTAATGCACTCTATGTTTTGTGTCACACAAACTAAATGTTTAAAGAACACCAAACATCTCCAGGTTGATCTATTCCGAGAGAGACTTGCTGATAAATGCCCTTGTCTCATTTAGAAAATATGCACAATGATAATACAAGCAACCAACATCACAGTTCAGTTAATAACTGAATCAATTATTGTCAAGACTGAGCATTTCGTGGAAACAATGATTATAAAAAAGTCCACAATATGCAAATATTATGCTTAGACTGAAGAATATTTATATATATAAGCTATTAAATTATAGTTTATTCTTCTGGAATGCCCCACTTATTTAAACTGGTTAACTCTAGGTGCTCTGAATTCTTCATGTTCATCTCATATATTATTGGTAACCAACATAATTGAACTGCATTGACGCAGTCCTTCCTAACCAAGAAATTCATAATTTATCAGTTGAGTTAAACTCCCTGTGTTGGCACATAATTTTCCCAATTTGTTTCCAAGCCAGAGCTATTAAAATAAATTTAGTCTGACAATACAAGGTCTTTGCAAATTGTCAAACATACAAAATTTTGTTTCCATGCAAAGTAATTTTATTCATTAAAGTAATAGTCATGTTTCATTTTCAAGGTGGTGCAGATGGCCAAATAACTTTCAGTCATCATTTGTTTCTTTAAATTCTAATGTATTTCTCTGAAGCCTGAATTCTGAATATATTACAAGATCAAAAGAAAGGAATTAAAAGTAAGACATCCCTTGATAACCAATTAAATAGCAATGATTGTGGAGGAGGACACCTTGATTGGAAAAAAGAAGGGTTAATTTTCAATGTACAATGCACAGATTATACCATAAACAGAAGAATTCAAATTGGGTTCTAAAAAGATGGAAAGGGAGAAAACAACATACTAACAAGGGGCTAATACTTCCATGATCATCCAATATACTTGAAACCTATCTATTATCTAATACAATTAAGGACATATTTAATTCCTTATATTGTAAAAGCATGCCAAATTAAGAATAAGACAGAATGCTAAGTTCCAATGAGAAACAGACGCAAATAAATAATACAATTATATTGACGATGATACATGAAATGCAACATTGTTTTTCTCCCATTTCTAATACAAAGAATGTGGCCTCATCTCATGGTGACATTTAGGATAAAGAAACATCGATTCCAAGGGAAATTGATCCTATATCATATCAGTGATAGAGAAACCAAAAAACAAAATTAACTAATCTATTACCTTCCAAGCAAGTGAAAATCCGAGCCATCTCGCTACAGAACTGCTGGCTACCCAACAAACCAGACAAAAAAGAGCAGCCAAGGAACCGGCTTTGAAGTCCAAAAAGATATAGAAGAAAGAATATATCAAAGCAAACAAGAACCCCATGTTAAAAACCAGAACAAAATCGGTTCCAAAGAAAGAAAACTCTACGTGAGGGACGTTAAAGAAAGGAGTGAAGTAAAGAATGAGAAGAGCAGTGAAAAAGATTGGCCAAACAAACAACATATGAATAAATATGTTTATTGGATTACGATGGTATGCTCCATAGAAAGCAAAGTGCTCTTCTAAATCAAATAAACCAATCTTTGCCATGCAGAATTTAGAGAAGAGAATTTCGAAACTGTTTCCAGGAAGGTAAAGTGGTTTCAAAGACAGGCTGGAAAAGAGTGCTGCTATTTAATTTCTTTGGAGTTGCTTAATATTAAATATTATCTATTAGTAGTTTAGTATTACCGGGCGGGACGACTCTGCGGTAACCTTACCTAGTGGACTATGTAGCCGTTGACTCTTAACTGTCTAGCTGGAAAAAGTTACTCCAATATTACATAAAAAGTGGGATGCAATATTGGTTGATTGTTATGATACTTTTTAAAATAATATTTAAAAAAAGTAAAATTGAATGGTTATTACGATATAAGATTTAAAAATTAATAAAAATACTCCTTAGATTTGTATATTTACTAAACACCTCTATAATAAAATTTTAAAAATTAACAAAAACACCTAATCTACCCATTAAATACCGACAGCCAGCCACCACCACCTGAGGGTGGCCAGAGTCATTGTATCGGTGTAAGACCCACTGGATTTGGCTGGTCGTGCATCAATATGACATTTTTCGACTAGATCCACTGTGAATCTGGTCGGAAAATCAATGATGACCATATCTTTGGCCGTCGTTGACGACCAAATACGGCCAAATCTGGTCGTCAAAGGCCAGATCTAGCTGTAGATCTGGCCTTTGACGACCAGATTTGGCCGCATTTGGTCGTCAACGACGGCCAAAGATATGGTCATCATTGATGGTCAACGATGGCCATATCTTGGCCGTTGTTGACGATTGGCTACGACCAGACCTTTGGCCGAATCCACAGTGGATTTGGCCAAAAAAGGCTAGATCAACGCACTACTGGTCAGATTCAGTTGATAGTGCGCCATTATATTAGCTTCCGGCGGTGGTGGCTGGAATTTGACAAATATGGGTTGCTGGGGTGTTTTTGTCAATTTCTAAATTTTTTTTGGGGGTATTTAGTTAAATTAACAAACCTAGGGGGTTTAAAAAGAATTAAATAAAATAGAATAATATTTTAAGAATAAGGAAATAAATGTGTATTTTGGATAGGATATAGAATAGAGTAGGGAAAAATAGTGTACCAAAGGGCCCCTGATTTTCTTAGGCTGTGCTTGGTACACTTTTTAGAATAGTATTTCTTAAAAAGTTGACTTGAATTGTATTAAATCAAATATGATTTGAATTTGAAAATGTGTTTGGTAAATTATTTGGATATTATATTAGAGTTGAATAAATTGTTGAATAGTTGTTTTATATTTTTGGAAAAAGGGATTTTATAGAATATTTTGGTGCATTTTATTAAAATATTTTATTATTTGATTCCAAAACTTTTCTATTTACATTTAAACAATATTAAATTCTTGTTTGATAATTTTTCTATCACTAAATTAAAAACAAATTCTCCATAATAATTGTTAAAACTTAAGAGACCAAACCGCAAAACCAAAAAGCAAGAAAACCAACATTCAACAGCAGATAAAATCCAACATATAAGCAGCAAATAAAATCCACATATATGCAGCAGATAAAAATGAAATGTCAAGGGGACAGAGATTTATAGTGGTTCGGTAATCTTATAGATTACCTACATCCACTCTCTAGTGCAATAAGCAGATTTTCACTATGAGAATAAGAGAATCTTACAGAGATACGCTCACCCTTTACACAATGCACACACCCCTCTGTAAACCCAGATCTCAACACCTCTCATACACCACACACCAAATAACCAAGCATTAGAATAGATTTATACAGAAGAGGAAAACAGAAAAACAATCCAGCTAAGACCTACCACTACCGTTGATTCCATCAACGCTCTTTGAAACTCTAGCGCATCCAACATTTCGTAACAAACTTTTCTCTCTCTGTTAACCAAGAGAGAAAACTCGAGAGAAATGAAAAATGAGCAAAACCTAATTTGAATTAGGTTTATTGAAAACTAGTTTTGACAGAACTGCCCCTTAGCTTTAGCAAAAATGACTTTGACTGCCCAATTAAACTTTGACTTCCACATGGGCATAAATCAATTGCCACCTCACAACAAATCTCCACCTTTGCACTTGATCATTACCCTCACTTACTGCCCTAGAATTTCCTTCTACTTTTCTTCAATGTGAAGAAGGCTCTTAAAGAGCCTTAACTTGTCCAAGACAATAGACTTGGTGAACATGTCTGCTGGGTTTCACAACCAGGAACTTTCTCCACCTTGATGGCTTTATCTTCAATCAAATTCCTTATAAAATGCAGCATGACATCAATGTGTTTTGATCTCTCATGAAACACTTGATTTTTACATAGAAAAATTGCACTTTGGCTATCACTCTTGATTGGAACCTGCTGCTGGTTCAAACCCATTTCTTCAAGCATTCCTTTGAGCCACATTGCTTCTTTAACAGCTCTTGTAATGGCAACGTATTCTGCTTCCGTAGTCGACAAAGTAACAATTGCTGCAGATTAGCTTTCCAAGAAACCAGATTATCCAAAAAGAGAAACAGAAACCGGTCATGGATTTCCTATTACCTACATTTCTGCATAACACTCACATATCCTACAATGATATTTCCTTGATTTTGCTCCCTACTGTAAACAATTCCAGTAGTCATTGTACCCCTCAATACCTAAGCACCCATTTACAGCTTCCACTGATTCTCCCAGGATTACTCATAAAATACATACAAAACTAACTACAAAGGCTAAATCAGGTCTGGTACACACCATCAAAACATCAAGTCCCTATTGCATTTGCATAAGGAATGCAGTTCATTTCCTTCTTTCTTCTTCTGTTTCGGGCATTGAACTGAATGGTAAGGTGCTGTCTAAGGGTGTTTTGACAGGTTTGGAATTACTCATATTAAACTTCCTGATAACTTTCCAGCATATTCCTTTTGTGACAAGATCAATTTTCCAATTTTTATATCCCTTTCAATATTCATTCCTAGGATTTTCTTAGCTTGCCCTAAGTCTTTCATTTCAAATTGTCTACTCATCTCTTCCTTAAACCTAGCAATCAGAAAGATCTTACAAGCTACAAGCATATCATCTACATACAAAGCCAAATAAATGTAGCACTCAATATACAAACACTTAAAATAAAAGCAACCATCAAAGCTACTCGAATAAATCCAGCATTCACCATAAACTAGTCAAATTTCTATCACACTGCCTAAGTGACTGCTTTAATCCATACAGTGATTTTTTCAACAAACAAAACCTGGTTGTAGACCCCTTTTCAAACAATTCAGGCTGCTCCATCAGAATTCTTTCTTTAAATCACCATACAAGAAAGCAGTTTTGATGTCTAATTGTTCCAATTCTAAATCAAACTGAGCAACTAAGGCTAAAAGAATTCGATAGTGGTATGTCTCACAACTGGTGAGAAAATTTCATTATAATAAACTCCTCAACCTGTGTGAAGCCTTGGCTACACAACTAGCTTTAAACCTAGGTGCTTCTACCCCTGGTATACCCTCTTTCCTTTTGAAAACCCATTTACACTTAACCCCCCTACTGCCTTCAGGTTTGTTAACAAGAATCCAGGTCTGATTTTTTATTAAGAATTATATTCTTCTGCATGGCAAGTGTTCACATCTTGGAATCTTTACTAATATGGCTTCTTTAACAGTCCTAGGCTCATCATCAATCTCTTCAGCAATTTGAAGAGCAAATGCTACCATGTCAGCATGTGAGTACTCCTAGGTGGTCTAATTTCCCTTCTTCTTATCTCTAGCTAGTTGATAATTTTGCAGGTCATGTCCATATCATCATCATCACCATTTCTCCTAATCTAGATTCTTCCTCCTGGGTAAGGAATCTGAAACAGTGTCTAAAACAGGATTGTTCAGACTTGAAAAATCTCCACCTAGATCCAGATTTAAGACCTCTGTCCTATCGCATTGTTACTCTCTTCTGACCCAAAAACCCAACTCATCTTCATTAAATTGACATCTCTACTATGATACACCTTTTCCCTCCAATATCCCAACTTATAAACCTTAATGCCCTCAGGATATTAAGAAAATGCACCTAATAGCCCTTGATTGAACATGGTTTTTTCATGAACAAAAACAGTGCAGCCAAAAACCCTAAGGTTACTATAGCTTGCAGGATGCCTAGACCATTTTCCATGGGTGTTTTTAAACTAATAGCAGATGAGGGTATTCTGTTAATTAGGGTAAACGCCGTGTGGGCAGCCTTGCCCAAAATAGTGGGTAACTTATAACAGGATAATAGGCTTCTAACCTTTTCTAGAATGGTCCATCAATCCTTTCTGCTAAACCATTCTGCTGGGGTGTGTGCCTTACAGTCCTATGCCTCAGAATTCCACTTTCCCTACACAGATTATCAAAATCTTCATTTATGAATTCTAAACCATTATCAGTTCTAAGTTTCCTAATTTTCTTCCTAGTTTGGTTTTCAATCATGACTTTCCAATCTCTGAATTTCCTAAAAGCCTCTCCCTTATTTTTCAAGAAATAAACCCAGACCCTCCTAGAATAGTCATCTATTATGCTGATGAAATATCTACAACCTCCCAAGGATGGATATTTAGTAGGTCCCCAAACATCTGAATGGATATAGTCTAAAATAGACTTAGAACAGTGGTTTCCCATACTAAATCTGATTCTATTCATCTTCCCATAAATGCAGTGATCACAGAAAACCAGCTTCTCTGTTTTATCTCCTCCAAGAACCTTTTGCTTACCTAGCTCAACTAAACATTTTTCACTAATGTGCCCTAATCTCCTATGCCATAAAGTTGTCTTATTAGACTTCTGAGATAAGGATACTGCTGCTGTTCCAGTGATGGTTGAACCATTTAGAATATACAGCCCATTCCTCATCTCACCCTTCATCACAACTAAGGACCCTTTAGTTACTTTAAGAACTCCACCTTGAGCTTTATAACAATAGCCAATTAAATCTAGACTTCCTAGAGAAACTAAGTTTCTTTTTAGCTCTGGTATGTATCTAACATCAGTGAGACATTTTGAGCTTCCATCATGAAAATTCAGCCTTACATCTCCTATTCCTAAGACTCTACAAGCTGCATTATTTCCCATCAACACCTTTCCAGACTCAAGTTTCTTAAAGTTTGACAGAAAACTCCT